CCTACACGAAAAAGAAAAGAGAAGGGGAAAAAAAGGGAAAATCGGCATTCTACTATACAAACAACAGTAAAATGGGTTTGTGTGAACAGTAGATCTCAATTCTCCTTTAGTATATTTATGATGTGTAAAAGAGGAACTGAAATATATAAGTTCAAAAATTCAAAACAGAATTTACAGCAACTTGTCCATTTCTCACAACATTTTGGGGTACCAATTTTACCCTGTTCAATAATCACTTTGGGAGCTTTTAATTAATTAATTCATCTATTTCTAACTCTTTTTTTTTTTTTTTCCTTTTTCTGAAGCCGGCCCGCTGCTTTAACGTATTCTATTTAATGCATTAATTTTGTAGTTAGAAACATGTGAGGGGAAAATTAAGAATACGTTTGGTTTATGGATTAGAATTATGTGAGTAGAATTATTTTTGATTTACGTGTATTTTTTATGAAAGAAAATATTATAACAAACCATGAACTATGATTTAAATCCTCAAACTAAAAATCTCCTAAATTTGCAAACTCGAAGAAAGTTAAACTCCTTAGATATAACAAATAAAACAGACGGAAGAATCAATGCATGCATTAATCAACTTAGCTGTGAACAAAAAAGGTTAGTTGATTGCGCCTGGTCAGTCTTTGCAACCTAAAACTCATATTTCCAACTAAAGAAATAGCTAGTTTTTATTACAACTCAATTCATAAAGACTCAGAAGTTAAGAATAAATGTTAACCATTAAAAAATTAAAAATAATATTTCTGATCAGGCACCCAGAACAGTCAAGCACTTTGAATGCTACACTAAAACAAATTAAGTATTATTATATGAACATATAAATAACATTTTACAACAACAAAAATTATGTTGCAAAAACTTGTTATAGGCATTCCGCAAGGTCAAGATGCACATACGGTAGTACGAGCTTTTGCAGACAGGAGTTAATACCAATTTTAAGTGCTCCCTACCCCTCTTGACCGTTGAAAGGCTCATGAGAACTTAACAGACATATAAATCTGAAGATACTATGTTTTTTTTTTTTTTTTTTTTTTTTTTTTTTTTTTTTTTTTGAGATTTGAGATTCAACACAGTAGAAAATATCAACGTTACGTATATACATCTCAAGAAACGTGTGATCTTTTGCTTAGATTAAACGGTACAACGCATATGTATACATTAATTGCTGTGCATCGTAATAGTAATAGGGTTGGGGGGGCAGTTAACAAATTTGTACATATATAGCAGCTGATAGAGATGATTGCATTGGAATTACGTTGCTGAGACATCGCTTTCAGTATTGTGGATGTATGTGTGTGTGATATATATATATATATATATATGATGCCCTAGCTCAACAGTGACCATTAACAGACTAGGAGAGACCCGAAATCTCTTGCAGATTTGTTTCGTTTTTCGCTTCAATTGCTGTGGTCTTTTTCGTTAAAACTGGTGAAAAGGAGGGTGTGTTGTTTTATCTGGTAATTAGAGGCTCTCAAAGCTGTGTTCTGAGAACGACATGAGAAAACCAGGGTTTTCCGTATCTCTGTTTAGAAATATTTGTCTTTTTTTTTTTTTTTTTATGTTTTAATTTGCTTCTGGCATAAATCTTTGTTTTCACTCTTATATGCTTCGCTCCTTCAATTCAGAAAGGTAAGGGAATTAAAATTTTCCTTGAATCACAGCATTTGAAACACGATTCTTTTCCAATTTTAAAACGTAACATCGTTATTTTTACTTTTACTGTTAGAATACTCTTATTTTGGTTATGTTATCATCAGGCAACAGGGTTAATATGTTTTGACGTCCTTATAATCTTGTCTGTCGTGACAAATAGTAACTTGGGCGTGCACTATATAATTAAGGGACTAATCGTCTTGATCCATTGACCCTAGTCTATGCATGCAGGAAATTGACAGTAAAAAGGTGAATGTGAACATGATATATATTAATTGGATCAATCGTCCTTAGGAGGATCGATCATATATAGCGAAACATTTACTCATGCTTCG